TAAAACTCTGTAGCTACGAAATTCAAGCCATTAGCGACGAAATAATTATATATCAATGTTTTGTTTTCTTTGGATTATCTAATATTATGTCCATTGTCATTGTATTTTAATCAAACTTCATAAAATGAAATAAATGAAATGATTTTGATATATCTTGTACTTGAATCAAAATATAAAGAAAATAACACTAAATGAATCCATTCTAATTGTTATTATAATTAAAGAAGATACTAATAAAAAATGATATTCTAATTAATAAGAACCCTATAAAGCCATAATCATTTTATAAATCATTAAATGGTGCACTATTCACATGGGAAGACAATGGATCAATCAAGAGGTTAAAAGATATGACATTTCCAATAATAATTTCATTTACTATAATCCCATTTTCATTAAATGTTTTTCCAATTAAAGCTCTCAATGAACAAGTCAATCTTAGGGTTTCATGCCAATCTTGAACCAGATAGAAGGAAATAGAGCTAGGTCAAGTAAATAGATTGCAGGAGAAAGTATTATAACAACTGTAATGTTTACTGTACTTTAATGCTTCATGGGTGGAAATGAATAAATAAAAATATTGTTATGATTAATAACTTTTTCTAATGAGGTTTCAATACGTATCTCCATGCTACAGCTAGAGGTCAACCAATCAATTGAGATATGTCTATAAAAAAATGTATGCTGTGAATGATTTTACTAACCCATAAACATATTGAGAAATTCAAAGGAAAACAAATTTGAGTGTGAAACTTGTATAAAAAATGCAATAGATATGATATAAAATGATATTGCCTCTTACCTTCATCGAATTTCTAGCTAATTTATGTACACGACGTTGAAATGGAATTTAATTGTTTGTTTTAGCCAAGCAAAATGAGCAAATTATACTGCAGAAATATAATTTATTAGATTTTAAAGATAATAACTTTTTTAATAAAAATGCTTGGGGCAATTGAAATGTAGAGTTCAAAAGTACTCGAATAGCTTGTGCTTTAATTGGTTATTAAAAAAATCTGCACACAATATATGTGTAAAAGACATTTGTAAAAGAATTTAAGGGTGGTCCCCACACACGTCAGCAAACAACATCAACAAATTTTCGTAAGCATGATCCACACATTACCTTTACGTGTGTGGATCATCCCCAAAAGTAAATTTACCATCCTCTCAGAATTTATGCAAAGTTTTTGTACTTGTATATATTTACGAAAAAAAATTTTGAATCTTAACATGTTTGAATATTTTTATATTTTTGCAAAGTCAAGTTTTTATATTTTTATATTTATGCAAAGTAAATTTACCACACACACGTAATTTTTATATTTCAGCAAAGTTTAAAATTAACATGTATGTTCACCAAATTAAATTTCAGCGCCAAATATTAAATTAGGTTTGGGAAATCTGTTCAAATGAGGAATTCATTGATTCATTTCAAATTATTCTATATATATATATATATATATATATAAAATCTATATATATATATATATATATATATTTTCAAAGATCAATTATGGTAGGTGTTTTCACGTTAGACAAAGGGTTAAAAGAAAGAGTGATAACTTTAACAGTACATTGAAAAGGACTAAATAGACTGGTAGTTACCAATCGTGCTTTCAACAATACCAGTATTCTATCTCAATCTCCATTTTCCCCCCTTTATTTACAGTTATAGATATAATTAATTAAATCTACGTTTGTTTTAATTAATTTTTAACATTATATATCTACATATTGTCTTCTTGGGATTATCTAATATCCTGTCCATTGTCATTGTATTTTAATTAAGCACCTTAAAATGCAATAAATTAAATGATTTGGATATATTTTCTACTTGAAACAAATTATAAAGAAAACAATACTAACTGAATCCATTTTGTGAATCAAGTAATCAGAAGCCATTTTAATTGTTATTATAATTATAGAAAATACTAATAAAAATGAAATTCTAATTAAGTTTTATAATAAGACAAGGTGTACAATATAAAATGGAAAATGGTGTGATGGTGTGACTTTTCCATTAAATTTCTTGATATGTTTACGGGTTAGTAAAATCATTCATAGTATACCATTTTCTTTTTTATAGAAGTACCTCAATTGATTGGTTGACCTCTAGCCATAGCTTGGAGACATGTGTGGAAACCTTATTAGTAAAAGATATTGATCAAAACAATATTTTTATTTAATCACTTCTATCCATCAAGCATTAAAGTACAATGAATGTTAAGTTGTTATAATGCTTTCTCATATAATCTATTTACCTGACCTATCTCTAACTCTTGATTGATCCATTTTTTTCCTGTGCGCAGATTCCACCATCGAATGATTTATGAAAAGATTTTTTTTTTATAGGGTTCATATTAATTTTATGAATGAAATCAATTTTTTGTTTAAATTAGTCTATATATATTAAATGAATTCACTAATCTAAGGATGATGACAAAAATAAAGAGTAATTTTACCTTAATGTGTCAGAAATAGTAACATAACTAAAGTCTTAATTAAACAATTAGTTTTGGTTAAAAAATACCTGCAATGTTTAAAAATGGAAAAGTACTCCTACTATATTATTAGATTGAAACATCAAATTGTTGTATAAAAACATAAAATTGTTGTAGAAAAATAAATATGATAATTAGACTTGGAATAGAAATTACAGGTGGCCCGCTTCAAATTGTTGTATAAAATTCGACATATTTATGAAAAATTATTATTTTAAGAATTGAAATATATGAGTAGTTTGAACTATTATTATTAACGAAAGCATGAATGTTTTTGCTTAGTTTCTATTATTTTTTGACGTTGAATATTTATTCGTTTATTTTAGTTTTATTTTCACACATAACTTTCTCGTTTAAAATATATTAATGCATAAATTGCAAAAAAAAAAAAAAAAAAAAAAATGCTGAAACATCAAACAGAATTCAATTGCCTTCTTAATATTAAATTCTTGTGACTCAAAAGTATTGACTGTTTCTTTATAGGATTTTGTGGATTATAAATTTTCAAGGCTAAAGATTTTTTTCTTATTTTTCTAGTTTGGCGACAGGATATTTATTTAGGGATCATGCTACATGTACACAACCTTTTACACAATCTTTTACACACTACTCCCAACATAAAGTAGGGACCACAGCTCGAATTATTTAATAACAGGTGGGACCCGCATGTTTGTGAGGGGGTGTAAACCATTTTGTAACCCCCTTGTGTGTACATACATCTTTATCCTTTATTTAGTTCATATTTTAGATGTCAAAAGTTATAGACACAATTCAAACTTCAATAAACAAATATTTGTTTTCTGTTTAACGGTCGGGATGGGTTAGAAATTTAAACTTGTCCATGGAGATGATTTAAGCATTTAAGGGCAATTTGAAAGTTGCACTATATATGTCTTGAGAGAAAAACTTAGTGTTGGATAGTAGCTTCCCAATTGAATTTCGAGCAGTTTCCAGTCCCATGTGATATCTATCTTTCTCACTCTTATCGAATTCTAACCTATGGACAAGTTTTAGCATTTGCTTGTTTTCGTTTGTTTATCTTCATTTTCATTTAAATTTTTATTTTTATTGCATTTTCGTGTTAATCAATTTTTTCTATTTTATAAGCGCATATTTTACTGATTAGTCTTCAAATAACATAACAATGTGTCATGTCAGTACGTCAATGCAACCGTCGAATTACTACCATAAGATATTGAGGGATGAATGTGACAAAGATTTGATAAGTTCGGTGAATATCTGAATTTTTTTTTAATGTTTAATCGCCAATGAGATAATGATTTGATGAGTTTGACAATTGCCTCAAAAACTTTTAAAGCTTAATGGCAAATTAGACGACAATTTGACAAGTTCGGTGGCCATCCAAAAAACCTTTTTTAAGTGTAATGATCAAAAGGGCATTAGCGAAATTTGAAGATAATTTCAGATTCGAAAATAGAGAAGAGGGCATTGTGACGTGGATACTAATACCCCTGAATCTTTTATTATTTGAGGTACTAGAATAATAATTTTAAAAAATAGTAATTGCTAATTACTAAAGCTTAGATACCACTTGTTAGCAATATTTATTTAGACCCAAATATGTCAAAATAATCAATAACAATAGACAAGTCACTTAATTATTGTTTCCAGATGAGTTTAAAACAAATTCAAACCCCGAGAGTCAATCAATTAATATAGATAAAAAACAATGAAATGTAAATTCTCGGAATAGTAAATCTCCACCTATAAAAATCCATTGAATGCCGCATTACCTCCACAGCTCCTCGATTTCTACCATTCTTTGGCTTTTTTCATATGTTTGGTGGAGGTTTTCGTAGGGAATCACTCCGAAAAAAACCCTTCGTTTAAGGATTCAGAAAATCCAAATAAGCAACAATGAGGAACACCATTACCTCCACACTGCCACTCTGGTTGCTGGCATCATGCATTAGTTTTCTTCTCTTCACCATCCACTCTGCAGCACATGAAGTTATCGTGAAAGACGTTGGAGATGGTATGAATTACTGTTACTCCTAATTCTACAACCTTATTGACCAATTAGTCCACGAAAGTTTAAAGTTAGGGCAGGAATCACTAGTTTGTGTCTGTTATAAATTTGTGATTCTTATTTCAAATTTAAGTGCGAGATTGTTACTTAATTGTTCACTAATGAAGCTTTCCAATTCGAATATTGAAAGATGGAATCCGGGCCATAAAGCAAATCTTCATCCTGGGAGGCCAGAGCAATATGGGAGGCCATGGCACAATTATCGACGATGTGGTTCCTGTGGATAACACTCCCAACAACTCCAAATTCTTCCAACTATATGCCCAACTCAAGTGGTAGGTGGCGCGTGATCCCCTCCACAAAGGCGTCGACATCAATAAACCATGCGGGGTGGGACCCGAGATGTTCAGTGAAGGCTCGATTGGGAGTCATTGTTCTAGTGCCATGTGCTAGAGGTGGCACATCAATCAAACAGTGGATAAAAAAGTGATGAACATTATGAGACCATGATTAAGAGGGCTAAAGCCATAGTGGAAGTTGGGGATGGTAGTGAAATAAAGGCACTTCGATGGTATCAAGGAGAGAGTGATACGTCTAAGTTGAACAATGCGGAAAACTCTAAAGGACGTCTTGAAAAGTTTGTTCAAAATATACGAACTGATCTTAATATGCCTTCTCTTCTTATTCTTATGGTTATTATTGAATCAGCAGATGGTCCATTCAAATACAAGGTTATAAAACGACAAAAGGCATTTAAGATGCCTAATATCGTAAAGGTGGATTCAGACGGATTGGGGTTCAATGAAGATAATGTTCACTTGAACACGGAGGCCGAAGTTCAACTGGGCAAATGGTTGGCTGATGCATATTTAAACAATTTTGCATAAGTATTTTCACTTTTCTGCTTTTATATCTAAACGAGGAGGAAAATTCTTATACAATATAATGTTTCTCTTTTTTGAATTGTCAATTAAGCCTTCAACTCAGGGAGATATATCTACATCAATAATTATTTTCCAAGCGACTTTAAAAGTAATGGACTCGGTGTTATTGAAATAGCATTCTGTATGGAAGTCCAAACTGGTAACGTTGCTTGGCTAGTAGAAAGTCATAAATAGAACTACAAGAAGGGTTCGATGTGCCACAGAATCTGTACCCTACCTTTATTCTTTGTTTTTTTTTTTTTGGAAAATAATCCCCCCAATTTCAATATAGTATTATGACATTAGACTTCGTCCTACACTTAACAAACAAAAGGTAGAAAGGAACAATATGCGAAATAACAAGTTTTTGTTGGGGTAGATCTCTCTCTTTTTCATGTCCAATGCTAAAAATGATATGGAGGATCTTGTAGAAGGCAATAAACTACTGCTTCTCTTGTTTTGCCTGAAGCACGTTCAACTACGGAACAAGTTCGCCCAACCTAGACGAGACTGCATAGTCCCCTTTTCCATCTGCGATCAGATTGCAGGATCTAACACATGCACATATAATTCTGCATAAGCCTGATCCATGATGTCATTAAACAAATAGGAAAATGAGAACAGCTACAATCTTGCAGTCCCGGTAAAATCACATTGATGCTAGAATAACCATGAATCAATCCATGTTTTCAGCTAATAATGAAATTCACTCCAAATATTACTTGCCACTCTATGATGATAATTGAGTACTCAAGAATTTATGATCATTTACGGGCACGAGAACAGTAACCATCCCATTTTCATTTATGATCATGTATGAACACGAGAACAGTTATCATCTTGAGTTATGATCAAATTACAGTCATGTTAGAATAATAAAAAACCAATCCATATTTCAGCTAACATTGCAATTTACTCCAAATAGTATAATAATGGTCTATGATCATTAATTAAGTAATCAAGAATTTAAGGTAAATGGCAAGATAATGAGTATAATGAAATAAGCACAAAAGTAATAACACAGAGATTTTACGTGGAAACCCAATTCGGGAAAAAAACCACGGGCAGGGGAGGATAAAATCACTATAATCAATATGAATGTGTTTTCAATATCAAGATCTCAATGCACTCAATTGAAATCTAAAACTCTCGGGACACTGTATAATTGTTCTCTCACAATCTCTCAAAGTTTGGGCAACAATACACAACGAGTTGTATATGTAAGTATTATGCCTTAGGTCCAATCAACTTTGGACATAAATACTTTTATATATAATTAATGCAATTAAATGGCAGATCTATTATTTAATTAATAGACAATTAAATAAATAATAGAGTCCGTAGATTCAAATCTTTGTAATTTGTTAATTACAAGGAGTTGTGATTGTAAGATACAAATTACATCTAATTGAATCTTAAATCATCCGTGGTCGTAAGTAATAACGAGATACGAAAATCGTTATTACGGATAGACCATCACGTGTGGCATTTCTTACTTGTGAAGTAAGTAGCCGATCTCACAAGCTAAAGTGTGGAGATACTTAAATGAACACGTGGATGTTTTGTTATAGAACAAAATATTGGAGACCCGTCGAGAGATTCCACATGGATAACTATCTGAGTGTCAGTGGTTAATCTCTAATGTTCAGTAGTGAAATTGGTCCTTTGACTTGAGATCGTCATGGTACCTTATATGAGGACAGTCATACTTTGACGATGTTGGATGTTGATCTGAAAAGGGCCGCTAATAGGACATTGTTCGGGTACGTCAAGAATCGTATGAAGGTTGTGATTGATTAATAAATGATTTGTCACTCTTAGATAGTAAGAGATTATGATCTGCGTTTCATTCAATTAAGTCGATAACGAAATCCTTGGCCAAGGTATACTCATAAGTCGAAAATGAGTTTTTGATTTATATTGACTTAATAGTGGAGTGAAAGATATAATCGATGATCGAGATTGACACAATTCCATATCTCGTAATTGATCGGATCATATTGACGAAGGGATTATAGTTTCACGGTAAATGAACGAATTTGGTTTTGTCATACCAGGTGACATTTCCCATCACATGTATTACCCTGACATATTGCTAGATGTCAATCAGGGACGGCAAGTGTGAATTGACGATAAATTAAAAGGGTATTTTAATTTATCAATTTTGATTGGATCAAAATAATATTTCACGTCGTTAGGCATCGTGGTCGGGAACCTAATGGGTCACACACAAAAGAGAATTGGAAGATTACAAAATTGCCAATTGGTTAATTTAACAATCGTTGGATAAATTAATTAATTGGATTTGTTATTTATATTCCCGAATTAATTAATTGGATTAATTAATTCACGGACCGGGTTTAATTAATTGGATTAATTAAATATTGGACCGGACTGGGCCGAGCCCATTTGGGTTTATATAAATACATGGCTAGGGTTTGAGGTCCATATGTTTTTTATTATTCTTGCTGGCACAAGAGAAAACCCTAGAAGCTGCAATCTTATTCTCTGTGTGGATCACCTTGTAGGCTGGACAATTGGACAGCTATGATGGCGAATCAAGGTTGATGGAACAAAAAGAAAAGCAAAAGGATTGCAGATCCGAAAAAGGTACAATCTTATCACAATTTCTATCTAAATACAAAGGCGATTCTTGGTGGGAATCGAAAATTATTTTAAATTCTGCTGTGCATGTATAAGTAGATTCCCAACAGTATATATAGGAAACTCAAGAGACCAAGTTGTAGATGAATAGCATTCCAAAACACGTTAAAACATAAAAGCGAGCGACCTTGCTGTCGCTTGAGTGGGAAGCAGGCGAGAAGTGAGTGACAAGGTTTTTGCTCACAACACTCGAGCACCTAGCTAGAGAAAATCTAGAGAAATTATGACGGATTTTTCTCTTGGTCCATATTTATGATCTCTTCAAGACCACTCCAAACAAGCCCCAACAGACTAAATCAAGGCAAACACCAACCAAGTTTAAGCAATCTCAAACTTAGCAATGGAAGTGATTTTGTCATCATATCAACGGGATTCTACTTGGTATCAACCTTGCTCACTACAATATTACCACGAACAATTATTTCACGCACAAAATGGTACCTTACATCAATGTGCTTAGTCCTCTCATGAAATATTTGATCTTTAGTCAAAATGATAGGACACTGACTATCACAATACAATGTAGTTATCTGCAAGTCTTCACTAATTTCACCAATTAATCATCTTAACCACATAGCCTCCTTACATGTCTTTGTAATAGCCATGTACACTACTTCAGTTGTAGACAAAGCTACTGTTTTTTGCGAAGTAGCTTTCTAGCTGATAGTACAGCTTCCAAGGGTAAACAAATACCTGTAAATGATCTCTTCTTATCAAGGTCCTTGCATAGTCTAAATATACATATCCAATAACTCCATCTGAATTTCTTCCAAATGTAAACAAGCATTAGTAGAGCCTTTCAAGTATACGAGGATCCATTGCACTACTTTTCAATGTTCCTTCCCAAAATTTGCCAAGTATCTACTAATTGCATGATCCAAATCAGCTCTTATACAAACCATAGTATATACATTAGCGAACCAACACTGGAATAAGGAACCTTAGACATGTAATCAATGTCTTCAATCCTCTCTTGATTTAACATATCATTGAAAACAATAAATCCATATAATCCAAAGCAACAAAACACATACTTCCATACAATCTATCATAGTTCTAAAGGTCAAGGCCGGTGACCGAAGTTTCAATTGAAGAATAACGAGGAATTTTCAGTAATCTATAGGAGATTGACAAATCCAGAAGGTTGGGATTTGGTGCAGCAATCCAGGAGAACTTTTGTGATTACAGTTAAGAGTTCGAAAAGTATTACAGTTGGCTAAGTCGGACAGTATTGTAAGTTCATTCATTTATAGTGAATTCTTACTATCTTGGGCCCAAAGTTTTTTTTTAATCCAGGGAGGCATTTTCTCAATCATCAATTTTTTGATGTTGTGTTATTTACTTTAAGCAATTTCTTAACTGCAATAATTCAACATAGGATAGTTTTGCATATGAATTCATTTTGATTAATTAATAATTGTGACTTTTTGCTTTTATTAGTTATTCTACATTAAACACCTATTCACCCTCCTCTAGGTGTTAGTCGAATCGAACTTCATAATTCTAATTTTAAAAACCCATAAACATATCAAGCAATCCAAAGGAAAAGGACACCATCATACCATTTTCCATTTTCTATTTAACACGTTGCTATTATAAAATCATAATTAAGTAGAATTTCATTTATATTCGTATTTTCTTTAATTATAATAACAATGAAAATGGCTTCAGATTGCTTGACTCACAAAATGGAATCAGCAAGTGTTCTTTTCTTAATTATCATTTGATTCGGGTAGAAGATATATCCATATAATTTAATTTATTCCATTTTAAGGTGTTTAATTAAAATACAATGACAATGGACATAATATAGACAATCCCAAGCAAACAAAATGTAGATATATAATGTGAATCCCTTATTAGCAAAATAATTAAGTAAAAAATTAGAATAATTTGAAGTGAACTGGTGAATTCTTGATTTGAACAGTTTTTTCTCCCAACGAAATTTAGTATTAGGTGTTGAAATTTAAGAATTTGGTGAATATACATGTTAACTTTAAACTTTCCTGAACGATAAAAATTGCACAAGCATAAATTCTTAGATGATGGTCAACTTACTCTTATATTTAAGTCAATTTGTGATGTAACTTACATTTATAGTTGCAGAACTTCTCAATAGTGTTTTAGGCCTAATTGGGAGACTTGATCTTTATCTGATAAATATTTAGAAAAACTTCGTTAATTGATATTTTGCGATCTCTGATTGAATATCAAAATCGTGTGTGTATATATATATATATATATATATATATATTTCCCTCGTATTTCCTTTTTCTTCCTGCCACATCACCTATTTTTAA